TTCCATTCCATTTATGATAAAAGAATGTGATAGATATTTCAGCATAAGTGCTATTTTATTATAGAAATATTTATCTATTTCATAAATAGAGAATGTTCTGCCTTCCTATTAGGCTCAAGAACGATGTGGAATACAGTTCATCCCAAATTCAGCCCTTTGTTTTCTTACACATACCCTGTTTCCCCGAAAGTAAGACCTTCCTGGTTAATAAGCCCAATTGGGCTTTTGAGAGCATGCACTAAAATAAACCCTCCCCTGAAAATAAGCCCTTATTGCAACACAGCAACATCCATGAGGTGAACACCCACACTCGCCACCTCCTGCACCTCAAAAATAATAAGGCCAAGTGCTTATTTCTGGGGTTAAAAGAAAATAAGACCCTCTCTTATTTTCAAGGAATCGCGGTAGCAGACAGAATCTTGCTAGACTAAAGTCTTATTACTTCCAATGGATATACCCTTGGAGATTCTAGGGAGTAGCTATTCTTACCCTCTTCTTCTGTCTTCTATCCAGCACCAGGCTGTGTTGCCTCTTGTCTCCCTCCTCTTTCTGGAATGTTCTCCCTCCTATCTGGGAAATGGCTTCTTCACTAGAGTCCATCACTCCAGCTCCTTCTCACGAGCACCATCTCTCACACTTCCTGTTTGTTGGAGAAGACTGTTAGTTCTAGTGATTCACATGACTAGAGTGAATAAATATTCCTTAACTGAAGTTGTTTGTTGAGCCCTTCTGAGTCAGCTTTTAATTACCCTAGGAACAATCAACAATATTTTCTATTTTCAGAATTAAGGACCTCATTTCAACCTAAACATTATCCTCTAATATGCAACCATTTTAAGAGGAAGAGATAAAATAGGTGAGATTGTTTAACAAAAAACAACAACAGTGAAATTACGTTTTTAAAAAGATAGCTGTGCCTTCACACAATGAGCAAATATGCATGTGATTATTCTAATATGTATACCTTTCGCTAGTGTTGTAATATTTGCTATCTGTTATGAGACTGCTCTCTACCATAGCATTTTGCTGGCTCTTCACCTATCTATTTATCCATGCAGATGCCAAACAAATCTGTTTGTACTTGTATTGTTAATAAGAAATGAAAGTAGAGATTAGTTTAGATTCCCAGAAATGCTGTCATAGGAGGAGAAAGAGCAGCAAGTAGGTTGGTCTTCAGATCATATGCTATGCTGACATTAGAGATGGAGTAACACAGCATCAGAGAAGATTCTGAAGAGGACAAGTTGTGTACAGTTAAAGATGTTCTACAGTAATAGTTTTTATGGGTTAGAGTACTCCAATAGTTCCAAAAATGGTTTGTTAATCTATTGCTTCTATTGAGAGTAAAGGTGGTTGGTATAACTAAAATATTTAGTAAATATTAGTTTACAATAATAAGATTAGTAAAAGAAAAACCTGCATGGTGTGAAAAACAGAATATGTCATGGGTTCAGAAAATGTTACAAAAACAACATTAAATAATGTAGGCCATAGGTGAAGCAAAATAACCAATGAAGGAATAAATTTTTAATGAGAGAAGGCATCCCACTCTGACATTTTGAGATCTGAAATACAGTGAAGATGCTGCAAGAGGAAAGAAAACAATTTTTCTTTTAGTTTAATAAAGACTAGACTTAAATGTCATATTATATGGTCATTTTATTTTAAATAATAAGAAAAATGAATTTACTATATAAATTAATAAATACAGCAGTTGGGGGTTGCTCCTGGTTCAGCTGAAGCGATAGTAGTGGCCGTGGGAGGCTCCGCCCACTCACCCAGACGCTTCGGTGCATGCGCAGTGTCACGCCGGAGCGTGGGAATGCACCCGAACCAATAGTAAAAATATTGGCAACCCATCTCTGAAATGCAGGATACAATTCTGATTACCTTTCAATTGAGATGTCTCATGATAAAATTGTTCAAATAGAGAAAAAAATATGTTTTTAAAGGGATGGCGAATGTCTCATCTAATGCTGGGGTTATGGAGGTCTTTTTACTATACCCATTTCTGAAAACCTCCTCTTATTTTCCAAATTGATGGTATATAATTTTAAAAAGAAGCTTCTACAAAAAAACAATGTTTTCTAGAATATAATAATTACATGAAATGGCTTCTATCAAAAAGAGTCAGCATAACGTTTCACTATTTCATATAACCAATGTTGAACTTTGAGCACCATGTCTCTAGTGAGTAGGTAAATTCTTTCTAAAAGAATGGAAAAGTCCAAACGCCATGAAATAATATTTTATTGAATTAATTATATTGATTGTATCATAAATTAATACAGATCAGAGGTGGTATTCAGCAGGTTCTGACCAGTTCTGGAGAACCAGTAGTGGAAATTTTGAGTCGTTCAGAAAACTGGTAAATACCACCTCTGACTGGCCCCCACCCACATCTATTCTCTGCCCCAGCTGATTGGGACAGAATGGGGATTTTGCAGTAACCTTCCCCTGCCACGCCCACCAAGCCATTGCCACCAAGCCACACCACACCCACCAAGCTATACCCACAGAACTGGTAGTAAAAATTTTTGAATCCACCACTGATACAGATGTTAAAATATTATGTTGCACTCTTGCTGACCAAGTCCAAAATACAATTTGGTAGATTTGATTAAGCAGACTTATTAGTATTATATGAGAATTTGAGATTATTAGTAAATGTTATCAGTATAAAATGTTAAGGTGAATTCAGTTTTTCTGTGGAGAAATATTTGAAAAGTGTATTGACACTACAGTATTTATTTTTATTGTTTCAACATTTTCTTTTCTGTAGGATTTAAAAACATGGATTAGAATAATTTATTCTTCCCTAAAAGCAAAGTGATCACTGTGTGTTACTGATCCCTTTTTATTTAAGAGGCATGGAAAACCCAGCTTCTTCTTTCTCTTATTGTGTTTAGCATGAATGATTACTGAATACTGAAATTTAGATCCTATACAGACAAAATTATAAAGTAGATTATATATTTATAAATTATATGATAGCTTTTACTAATAAATATGAATCTTATATGCTAAAATCAATAAAGTTTGTGAGTGGTTATACCTTTCAGGTATAATATTGATGTCTTTGGAGGCTACTATTTAGAACATTTAGGAAACTTCAGGTGTCAGAGAAGAATATTTTACTTTCCCAGATTAATTTTTTTGAGGGGGATGTGCAAACCATTGTACAGTATTCTTAATTTCATAGGATAAATTCATAGGCTGGGGGAAAAAAGAGCCTAGTTTCATCCAACACTGATTAGAGCCTTATATCGAAAAAGAGAGACCAGATGTTCAAACGGGTTAAAAGATTAAATGAAGAACATTGTGGACACATGTCTTGACTTCAGTTTGCTCTTTTAAAAAATAGTGAAAAAATGCAATCTACAGATGTGCAGATAGTCCTCATTTAGCAGTCACAATTGGGACCAGCATCTCAGTCACTAACTGGGAAATCACAAAACTGTAACTGTGCTTATGATTTGAAATGTTCACCCTGGTTCTGGGATAATTAGCAAGAAGAGAATTAATGTTTGCATTTATAATTATTGGAGAGGATGAGATTACAAGAGAGTAAGTTGGCACACAATGGGAAATACACAGTGAATACCAGCATGGGAGCTTCAAGTGTGCTAGGCATATAGTCAGTGTATTCCCCATTGTGCGTGAGAGAGATTGGAGAGGAAGGGACTACAGGAGAGTTAGCAGGCACATAACAGAGAATACATTGGCTGTTTGCCTAACAAACTTGCAGCTCCCAGCCCCAAGCATGCTCAGGACTGCCAGTAATTGTGCATTCTTTTCAGTGTGGCCAATATTTGAATAGGCATTTACTTTTTACAAAAGAGAATTTTCCTAGACAGGGAGGAAACTTAATATTGAACTATTTTTGTTTGGTCTAGTATAATACAATTGAGTTTAGGGTCACTAAGTTTTTTTTAAAATTGGCCCAGTGAAGCTATGTTTTACCAAATATAGTAAATGCCATTATGTTCCTCCATACGGAAACAATTATTAATATTAAAATTATTTATTGGAATTGTTATAACTTTTATTCATTAAACATGAAACTCAGTCAACTGAACATTTAAAAATGTGTCACAAATATCACTGACTGGCGCTGATGGTTGATACAGTTGCTGCCAGTACTCTAGGTATCAACCAAGTATTTTCTTAAATATCCAATATCCAAATATCTTCTGTTTTTTGCAGTTCTGCTGGTGTTATTGCAAGAATTGATGGTGGTGGTGGTGATGATGATGATAAATAAATTCCTATCCACAGATTTGACTGGGCCACCATTTTTCATCTGTTGGTTACTTTCCAAGTAGACCATGGTAATAGACTCTTTTATAGAGTCATCTCTGAAGAAAACTCAGAAATTGCAGAGATACAGAACATGGTGACCTGGCTTCTGCCTTATATTTTCTAATAGATTTCTCCGGCAAAGTGGCACTGACTTTACAATTTCAGGATACTAAGGCTAGAATATAAATTCCTCCATGCCTTGAGTCTTGCTTATCAGAAGGAATTACTTCTTCCTATATGTTGTGAACCAAGAACTTTGATCATCCACTAAGGGTTTTTTTGTAAGTGCCATCCTAGAAGAAGTCCATCTGGAAGCAACCAAGGCAAGCATTCCAGTATCCACTCCGGTTTTGAGAAACAATGCCCTAGAAATTTGGAATAAGACAGTCCATTTTATTGGAAGTAAAATTTTGAAAATGTATAGAGTCCTGGGGTGAAAAAGTTAATATCCTTTTTCATTGAGATTACAGAATCAAGGAACAGTAGTCTTAACAAATTAATGATTTCCACAGCAAAATCAGTAATTTGAAGAACGATGGGGAATGTGAAAATCTCAACATACTTTGGATCGTCATGGATCCTTTCTAAGCAAATAATGGATATCATCATAGGAAAATCCACATTTCTTCCTGGTCTGGTTTGTGGAAATAGCTCACATTTCCAGCATCAACATTTTTCTCTTTTTTTAAATGTTACAGCATCTTGTCAACAGTTGGTACTGAATTTGACTTGCGAACTTTGCGGGCAGTTCGTGTACTCCGGCCGCTAAAGTTAGTGTCAGGAATCCCAAGTGAGTAGCTTTTAATTAATATCTTTCAACTAAACAGCAACTATCTTGGATTACCATGCTCTGACACAATCAATTTACCATTTCATGTAGATTAGTACTTAGACAGCTTATATTTTGTCTTTTAACTTTTTGATTACTTACTTCTTGTACCATCCACTGGAAAGCCCATATTTTACTTTGTTAACTCTTTGCATGGAATCCATTATCTAATCAAAGTATCTGTGCTGTCTTTATGAGTCTCAGGCAATAATCCTCTTTTTGAGAGCAAGCCCAATTAAACACAGTAGGATTAGAAGGCACAAAATAGTGTATTATCACTATACTCATTTTCCTCCATATGAAAAAAACAGAATTCAGACGAAAGTGTTCATTATGTATATATAAGTATGTAATATCTCCAAACTTTATATATATATTAATATATAATTATAAAGGTAAAAAAGGTGAAGGAATCCCTGCAGTATTATTTTGCAGTACTCATTTCCATTTCTTTTCAAGCCATTGAATCATATATATTTATATTTATATATAGTTAGAGAAGTGTCTAAAATGTATTGATTCTCCAATCTATTTCCTTGATAAAGGTAAAAACACCCTTGTTTTGAGTTTTACTTGGCAACAATATGGATAGTCCCTTCTTCCAGAATGTCTTTTTATTTTATTTCACAGTTTATCCAACAGTCCTGGAATTTGCTGGGGGACTCCTGTCCACTATACTTGACTTTACTTAGCCTTTGGAGCCCTGACCTCTTGGAAATAAGGGGGCTAAGCATGGATGTGACCTCTTAGAAATGTGGCCTCTTAGAAATAAGGGCATGGATAGAAATTATCCCAGTATAAAATACTTATCAAAATGGACTTTAATAGGTCCTAATACATTTAGAAATATAGGAAGCTTTGACACTTCTGCCTGCTACTTACTTGTTATGGTCTTTTGTTAAAATCTTAAATTATTAGTCTTGACCATTCATCAATAAAAGAATTGACACAATAACTCCAGGTTATACATGGAAAAGCTTTCCTTTTTCTTCTGCTTTAAGGTTTATAGGCCTCACATGCCATGTTAAGAAAGATAAAGAATATAAACAAAGTAGAGAGCAGTGTGTAATTCTCTCTATATCCTGTTAAAACTCCAATAACGTTAGCTGCTGGGTGTGCTTTAAATCTATTCTCTGATGATGCTCTTGTCTTTTGTTGCAGGTTTACAAGTTGTCCTTAAATCCATAATGAAGGCCATGATACCTCTGCTACAAATTGGCCTCCTCCTATTTTTTGCAATCCTTATTTTTGCAATCATAGGGTTAGAATTTTATTTGGGGAAATTTCACACCGCCTGCAAGGATATTCATACAGGTACGTAAAAAGCATTCTATTCTCCTACCAGCTACCCAATTCAAAAAAGTTAGTAGAGCTGATTTTTTTTTTTTAAAATGGAAAAAGGTAACTATTGACAAATGTTATCTTTGTTAAAATGTAAATGAACTGTTAATATAAAGTTGTACTAAGATATAATGCAAATTGTTTGGTTTTGGCTTAGTACAATTTTTGATGCCAACTATAAACCATGATTTTTGGCTATATGATGGATCCATCCATGATGGATTGTTTAACATATCATGGTTAAAACATAATATATTTGTTGAATTACCAGTTATATTTACTCTGAAATATAAGTTACATAAGAGGAATGTAAGTCAAAAGATAGGCCGGGTGGTTAATCACTTTGTATATTTATACACAATATTCCCTAAAGAGTTAGCTTTAGAAAAACATAGTTCTGTTTCTGTAGAAACTAATCCCAGAAAACTGATGGATTCATAAAACTTGCTAAGAGAGGAAAAAATTGCATTATGAATGAAACATACAACAGGGCATCTCAAACTTTCTTCACATGAACTCGTTTTAAGAAAGACTGATCCCTACTATTGTTTTTCTGGTTAGAGCAACTAAGAGAAGCTTGAACTTTGCTTCCATGGTCTATTTACACTTGGTACATGATTCAATCCATATTATGGAGAAGCACCCTAATCTAATGTTGCCACAGCAACAAATAAAGAGGGGAGCTCCTCCCTGCATACAATTCAAATCCATAAATCTATACTTTCTTTTATAAATTGAATCTAAGTATCTCTTGTCTGGAGATTTTCAGTCATTCTGATCATGGTTGTCCCAAAGGTGCTTTTTCAAAAAGCAACTGGACTTTGCTTGTTCTCAACAGTCCAGTTGTCTTTTGAAAAAGCACCTTTGGGACTAAGTATTTCTTGACAATTTCTATGTTACTTCTCTTTGCATTCTGTATATATTTAATCAATTTGTGTTATTAACAGTAAAGAACCTTAGATCTGCATAGTGTCACAACAAATCCTTTGAGTTCTTCATCTGCACCTCTGTAGACTCAAGTAACTTTTTGGAATCAAACCACAAAGTGTGTATTGTACAGTCCTAATGAACTTTGAATATACTGTGGACTGAAAAAAATGATTGATGTACATTAACAACTAAGTTGTAATTGAGGATACATATATATTGTACTACCATCGCATTAAAAAAGGCAAAATTAAATACTAAGGAACACAACTTTTTCCTGGTCTGTAGAATTGCTGCCCATCAGAATAGATAGTACAGAGTTTGATATAAGGCAGCTTCCTATGTTCTTAATAACTACCAGTGTGTCAAGCAGAATAGATTTGCAGATCACCTATAGGCAAGTTTCACAAAACACTCTTGCTTTCTCTCCACTACCTAAATACAGAGGATTATTTTTTTTCAAGTCAAGTAAGCTTCTTAACTACATCAGCCTGCAAAACAAAGGTGGGTAGCCCATCAGAAGTCAGGAAGCATCGGACTTGAGGGGGGAAACAGTGTTAAGTTGTGGAGGCAAGTAGCCTGTATCATTGGAAAAACACATCTGGGCAGTCCCTGTGCTTTCCTTGGAGGAGCAAAGAATTAAAATCCAAACCATGCTGGTTTCTGCTTTTCTATATGGCTGTACAGCATCTGAAAAAGCACTGCATGGAGGGGAAAATGTGTCTGTATGAGTACCCTGAGCCATAATTTTGGAGGAAGGGACTTCTTGAAGAACAGCCGGTGCTGTTACAAGGCAAGTGATACCACCATTTTTTCTGCCTCCTGCAGTTGCTTATCTGCTTGCCCTAGTCTACTAGAGGCCCTCTTTTTCTTCCCTCCCCAGATGAAATCATGCAAGAAGCTCCATGTGGGAAGGAATCACCGTCACGCCTCTGCCCTAATGGGACTGAGTGTAAAGAATACTGGCAAGGACCCAACTACGGGATCACACAGTTTGATAACATCCTCTTCGCTGTGCTGACTGTCTTCCAGTGTATCACCATGGAAGGGTGGACTAACCTCCTCTATTATGTGAGTTTAGCACTATGCTTTATCTAAAGTTTTTTTGCCATGAACTGGAAAGTTATACTCTATATATTAAGGGTTAGTAAAAGAAGCTGCATAATGGTGCTATAATTCAGAAAGTGAGAAGTTCTGGAGAAAATAATGGATACATTGACTTATGGTAAATTGGTGAAGAATTATCATGTTTTTATATAGAGAGAAGGCATTTTTAATATCTTGCAAGTCATGATGTGAAAGAATCTCATTCTACATCTGTGAACTATATAGTAAATTGACATACATGTATCTCTTTTCCTCAAGTTCCTTACTAACTCTAAACTGTAGCATTACTTGCTGTTATTCCAAACAGGCTTTCTCCAGATCTTTTAGATAATATAAACATACATGCTTATGAACAAAGTTGTAAGAATATATGAACATCAGTATAGTTGATAAAATAAGGTTCTTATTAGAAAATAAAGTCACTTGAATTCTGAACATAAAATATTTTCTACTGCAAAGCATAGACTGCAGAGCATAGGGTCACGGGCACATTTTGTTATATAATACCAACAAGCACCTATATAGCAGCCAATTCTAAATAAAATCTAAATAATTTGAATTGTCTGAGAATTCTGGCATTAATGGGGAAATCTTTCAGAATACAGCAAAACAAGCTAATCAATATTATATATAAGTTTTAAGAACCAGGGAATGGGGACAAAGGAAGGCTAACTAAATCTGGATGGAGAATGAATGACTCCCATGAATAAACCCATTTTAGGACAAAAAAAACCTTTATTGCAGTGTTTGAATAGCTTTTGCAGTAAAAAGAGAAATAGTTTGACACAACAATTTATTATTGGGAAAAAGAAAAAAATAAGACAATAAAATGACATATCTGATCAATGGTTTGCAGAGTTGTATAACTCAGTGAAGATATTTGGTTATCTGATAGCTGAGTGTGGGGTTAGCATCCCTTAAAAAGCAATCAGCATAAAATTTATCAATCTGGTCCCAATTTGACCTTTTGTAATTATGGGAATCAATTGTCTACTTATGCTTTTGTCTTTTGATAGAAAAAAACTAAAATGTGATCAATGATTATTAATTGTTCCTCATATAGTAGGATGCCAGGGTTCTCAGTGCCTGCTTTATGCTTACAAAAGTCAAGGAGAAAAAAACTACATCTTCATCATAAAATAAAATTAGGATGTGTCTATCGGCTAGTTTAGGTCCATTGATATCAACTCTCTGAAGGGTTTTAATCAGAGAGTTGATGTGTATATTAAAAAGCAGTGGTGTTAGAAAACATCCTACTTTCATTCTCTTGACATAAAGTTGGAAAGGTCCCCTCTCCGATTACATCCTACTCTAAGGCCAATTTTATTATATTGTTTATAGACTAGGAGTGAGAGTTTTCTGTCTATAGAGGATTTGCTCAGAATGTTCCAAAGTCTTATCTTTGAGATAATTATCATAAACTGCTATGAAATTTATAAAGGGTACATATAGATTAAAGTCAGAGTAGTTTGTGCATTTGTCTTCTAAATTTTGACGTGCTAGACAATGGTCTATAGTCCCAATTGAAAACCTGCTTGCGATGGGTCAGTTATTCCATCCTCTATTACCCAGGTTTAGAGTTTAATAAGTAACTATCTGGCATATGATTTGCTAACGATGTTCAATAGATTAATTGACCTATAATTAGCCAGTTCATTCTTATCAGCCTTTTTGTATAAGAGAACAGTTATGATTGCCCCCTCCCAGTTCTTTGGAATATTAGTTGTGTGGTTAAGGTACGAAAATTAAGAGGCCAGTACAGAGGCATACCAATTTGAATTGGATTTAATTACCTCAAGTGGATACAGTCACACTTGGGAACTTTACCACTCTTAAAATGGTTAATGAGACTGTTGACTAAGGAGTTGCATGTGACTGGGGACCACAGCAGTAGTGAGAATAATCTCACATAGGTGTTAGTATGCAGATCATAATAAAGTACTTAGAAGTGGTGTACCCAGACACTTGAGGGGATACTACAATTGAATTTTTTTAATGTGGTTAAGTGAACAGTTTGTTATAGTATGCCAAAATAGGAAGGGGTTTTTGAACTTGGTGGTTTTGATTAGCTATGACTGTTCTTTCTTATGATCATAAGTATTTTTCCAAGTAGGGTCTTATGTTGTATTTTCTGCTCTTTTAAAATTTGGGAGCAATCTGATAAGTTGGCCTTGAGTAATGCAGCTTTGACAGTGAGAATTCCACTAATGCTGCTTTGGCAGTGATGCAAGATTTATCAAACCAATTCTTAGAGTTCCATTCCCTTCTGATCAGATTGGCTTTCACCTTTGTTACTAAAGGTTGCAGCTGAACTATGAGATCAGAATATATATCAAGTATTCTGCTATTTTGTGATATGGTTGGGTCTGAGTATGCCCCTAAATTTTAGAGGGTTGAGAAGTATGCTGTTCCTTCCTCTGAGTAAAACTAACGGGCTATCTTATCTTCAATGGGGCCATTCCATCTATAAGAACCACCTCTGGCCAGACATTTTAAATGGATCTTATGTGGATTCCTAATTAGATCTTGCCTAATTTGCAGCTAGGAGAAATAGTCACTTTCAGTCTTGAGGACTATGGCAAAATGATTAAGGCAAGGGATCAGATTTCTAAAAATTATTATATAAACTTTGTTGGATGACTTGTGAATGAACAAAATCACCCAGGTAATCTATTTTGGACAGAGCCATTTAATATTTGTAGGTTAAGCCCATATATGAGATGCAGCAGTCAAAAGCCAGTTAGGTTATGTTTTGTATCTTTGAAGGATCTAGACATAAATGGTGACTCAGTTACTTCTTCAGGAAGACAGGTATTGAAGCCTGTCCATCATTACAACCGGCTCTTGAATTGAAATGCCACCTATAAGAATATATGCACCAGGAAATCACTGACATCATTCAGGCTAAGATTAAGGAAGGTATCAACTTGGTTTGGGTTTGGATTATCTGTAAGAGGAACTGTTGAGTAGGAAAGTATAAATTAATACACATTAAGAAAAAATTGTCAAAGACTAACAAAGCTGATATACATTCTCAAACAGAGGTGATTGTTTTACATTTTGAACACTTAAGTTGGAAACTATAAACACGCCAAGCCCCCACCTCCTTTGGTTTGCCACCTCTGTGCAGAAGCTAGTAGAGGAAAATACTTGGGGATTGAGAATTCCTCAACATCCATGTTTCTTCAAAGATAGATGGATGGATGGATGGATAGATAGATAGATAGATAGATAGATAGATAGATAGATAGATAGATAGATAGATAGATAGATAGAT